TTGAGCCCTGTGCCCAGGAAGAAGAGAAAATGGATATTGATGAACCTATCCCTCTCCACATCCCTATCTCATGAGATTGTGGTAAAGATAAAATAAAATAATATCTGTCAGAGTACTTTACCAACAAGAGAGATGTGGTAGTGTAAGCCTGGAGGGAAAGAGCTGTCAGAGAGAGATTGCAGATGGGAATATATATGAACAGGAATTACCATGGCCTAGTAAAGTGCTTGTTCTATGTTCTGGGTTGAGGAATAAGGAAAAAGAGACTAGAGAAGCTTTATTCATCTTCCTGAATTTATGTAAGCCTTTCGGTCTCTGGCTCACACTCCTATTTCTAGTATTCATTCATTTATTCATTCATTTATTCATTCATTTATTCTCCAACAAATTGTTACAATACCCTGGGTATTGTGCCATGTGCACACGCACGCGCGCATGCGCGTGTGTGTGTGTGTGTAATGCATCACACTAAAGAAAATCCCTTTCTGGAGCTGGTTTCAATTCTAGGAAAGACGCATTGCTGCCTGCTCTAACATGGAAGCTTTCCAATGTAATTGACTTGTCACCAGTTTGCTAGCTGGTGGGTGTGATGAAGGATGCCACTTCAAGGACTCAGCAATCACAGTAAATAAGTAAGAGTCCCTGTTTGGGGACTTTTGTAACCTGTGTTTTTGTTACCTTGACCACTCTCTTCATAGACCCATTGAAGAAATACTGAGATACCTGAGGGAAGAGATCGGAGGACAAACTCACAGGACAGGCCACCCTGTCTAGATGGTGGCTGAGAACCTCAAATATGTATATGGTCTTTGGTAAGCATTAATGTTTGACCCAAAGATCTATCCATGCACTTGGTGCCCACTTCCATAGGTCTATCTGCATTCCACTTCCCCAGATTTCCTCAAATCTCATCTTCCAGTCTGCTCCTTCCAGGCCATTAGCCAGCTGGCTGAGCCATCTAATCCTGCCATGAAGGAGTATACATCCATGTCTCAGGCCATATCCTCCCTCAATATACAGTATATGATCAAGTGTACTGGTTCCAGCTTGTCCCATTGGAAAAACAACCAATGGTTGTTCTTACCAACAACGATGGTAAACATCATCCTCCAGGGTCACTTTTGATTGGGGCAACCATGCAGCAGCAATCCCATTAAATCAACACCAAGCTCATTGAGATGTCGGGTGCTCACAGGAGGCTATGAGTGTGGATCGAGTGGGCGTCAACAGTGTAGCAGAGATGGGTGAAATGGGAGTCTGAACCATTTGTTTATATAATTTACTTAATATTTCTGGACCTGCTATAGGTTAGATCCAAATGTACCACTTCTGTTGCATGATAGATTGCTGTTACATATGTCCAAAAGTAGGGCTCCATAGGTTAGATAACACCAACTCATAATGGAAATCAGCGGACAGGGTGCCCATGTTCAGCTGCTCTGTCTCCACTGGGGTCCAGTAGTATGCCAGGAGCACTTTCCAAACAAGATAGTTCTCTCCTGTAGTGCATGGCCTTGTTTCAGAATCCAAGGTCTCTGTGCTGTGACTCTTCTATTTAAGACTGCCACATCCTTCTCTATCACAGATGCCCCTAGCACCACTGGATCTATTTGTTACATGGCCCAAGAAATAGAATACCTGGAATCACAACTTGGATTTGCTGTCCACACTCAACACTGGTGGCTTTCTGAGGCAACAGGGAACTGGGAGAGAAGTTTATACTATGTTGTTTTCAAAAATCCAAAGAAACTACAGTATATGATGTCTCCTTTTTTTTTTTATTATTTTTTAAGTGAGACAGAGTCCTTGGGCTGGAGTGCAGTGGCGCAAACTTGGCTCACTGCAACTTTTGTCTCCTGGGTTCAAGCGATTCTTCTGCCTCAGCCTTCTGAGTAGCTGGGATTACAGGCATTTGCCACCAGGCCCAGCTAATTTTCTGTATTTTTAGTAGAGACAGGGTTTCACCATATTGGCCAGGCTGGTCTCGAACTCCTGACCTCGTGATTCGTCTGCCTTGGCCTCTCAAAGTGCTGGGATTACAGGCGTGAGCCACTGCGCCCAGCCTGACGTCTCTCTTTTTTTTTTTTTT